ACCAGAGCACCCGAAACCGAAACCAAGATTGAACCCATCACTCCAGGCCCGGATGCTTCCCTGCGCTCTGCTCACGGTTTCGGCTCCGGTTGCACCAACGGAAATGCCGACGCCGACACCGACGCCGACACCGACACGAACACGAACACGAACACCCACACCGACACCCACACMGACACGAACACCAACGGCAGCAGCGAAACGCACCACGAGAACCACACGAGGAGCCCGGACCGGAACGGCAGCTCCTCCAGCGGTTGGGAAGTGCAGGCACCACCTTTGTCCCTCGAAGCGAACGAAGCCAACGGAAACGGATGCGGAAATGGATGCGGAAACGGATGCGGAAACGGCGTCCACTTTGCCTCCCCGGAATACAGCTCCACGCCAAGGATGGCGACACCCAGCTCGGCGACACCTGCGACACCCAGCTCGGCGACACCTGCGACACCAGCAACACCAGCAACACCAGCAACACCATCTACGGCCATGACAACCACAACAACCACAACAGCTATACCGGCCATACCAGCCACTACAGCGATCTCCACAACGACCACTCCCTCCAAGCAGCTCGGGACGGCCAAGACACTCGCCGCCCTCTTCGGAGCCGCCCCCCCGGGAGCAACCCTCGGAACCTGCCGGGCCAACGCCCACGACTACACGCTGGTGGGGGACTCCCCCTACGACACCACCTACGACCCAAGGTCCCCCTACTACTACAACCGCGTCTACGGACAGCTCTACGTCACGACGGTCTCGGTCATGTTCCGCGGCAAGGCCTTTGGGCCGATCGGGGCCATCCCCTACGAGCGGAGGCTCCTCCTCCCCTTTTGCGAGGTGGAATCCATCGAGGCCTACAAGACCACCAGCCTCCGCCTCACGATGAACGACGGGGAGCAGTACGTCTTTAAGAGCTTTGCCGACCGGGCGGCGGTGGTGCGCCTCCTCCAGCGGACCCACGGCCGGTGCCGGGCCGGTGGCCTTTGGAAGGATGGCTCAAGAGATGGCTCCGCTCTCGCYCTCGCCAACGGGGCCGCCCCCAAGGCCCACTCCGGKTCCCAACTCCACCCTTKCCCCCAATTCCAACCCARGTCCCATTCCGSCGCCGTCGCTCTCTCCCGGCAGCGGTCCTCCTCCGTGCCGTCCTCTCTGCGGGGCACGAGGCAAACGCAAACCCCCAGCAGGAGGAACTCGGTGGTCTTTGACGAAACCGCCACGGTTGCCGCCGCGGCAAGGGCAATGGCCGMTGTCCCTCCCGCCGGGAGACTCGTTCCGCTGCTACGGCAAGAGCAGCAGCAGCARCARCARCARCARCAGCAGCCCCGCCGCCTCTTTGGCGGGGAGGGAGACGCCGAGCCCATCGCCGCTCCCCCGGCGTCCTCTCCCGCGATCCTCGTTTCGCCTCCCCGCACCACCATCTCCAAGCGGAAACAGCCCACGACGCCCGTCCGGGCACCCGGTGGCGCCGTGACGTCTTCCGCCTCCCCCGCCGCGAAGCACCTGGCCACCGGGAACCCAAGACTCTTGGG